GCAAGTCATAGATTTTACTTAGTCAGTAATTGGACAAATTGTGCATTTCTAGCCATGGTCTGGCAACGTTGTGCACGTTACCTGCGTTCTGATAAAATTTCGATTCACGACGAACTTTATTATGCGCACACATAATAATAAGCAATTGAGAAAATTAGGAATTTCTAAATCGGCATAGTACGCATGTTTAGCGATCATAGCCGCATATATCTGCGTTATTTGCTTTATTTCATTGTCCTCCGTAGATGATTTAAGGAGGAAAGAGAAAAAATGACTCACATCATATTGCAGCCACATATCATATTATATGTCAAGTGTACTCAAATACCATAACGAATTGTATGTATATACAAAGTCAAGTTTATATGTATATGTAAAAAAGTCACACATATAATCTCAGTGAAACTTCTATGTAATACAAAGGGTTTCAGAACATTTTGAAAAAAAGTTTTCTTTGACAATTGCCTTTCTCTTCTTTTTTATACATATATATATATATATATATATATTTATACATATATATATATATATATGTATATTTCCTTCGAAAAAGCGTTGTTCGCTTGTTTGCCAAACTGACCTTAGTCTGGTTTGCTGAGTGTGACTGAGCATATTGTTGTAGTGTTTGTTTTTCACACTCAACCAAGGTAATAAAGTAAAAATTGGTTTTTATATCAAGCACATGCTGAATGAGTGGAGAAATACAATATGCATTCATTTATTTATTGTTTTTCCATGTTATTGTTGTTTTCAACAATATTGGCATCTGTGCAAACACTAACATAGAGGCAGGCACTTATGCATTGGATGTAACAACAAAGTGCAGGATTACGAGTTACAAACTCGGGCGAATATGCTGCTCTTTCTCTGTTTGCACACATTCATATACCTTCTCTACACCTACTAGTATATCCCAATCTTTATAAACCAAAATAACAAAAACTAATCACACATCTATATGCGCTTTTATTTACAATTCGATGTTGAATTTCATTAATAGTAAAGGAGAGTCAGTGAAGCGCTTGTTATTCTATATTTAGACAATAGTTGGCGGCAAAGCTATATGTGAATCTGTGCCTGTTCATACGTCGTCATTGCGCTATTGATATGTAGAATTTTACGTTCCGTTTATAAATATCTACTCACACTAAGGCACACACAGAGAGAGAGAGAGAGTGAGGGATGTATACAATGGAAGAAAGGTTTCGGCCTATTATTGTTTTGTTATTTGACGTTCAATTAGTGTGTGTGTATTGGTTCTTCTTTTTCTTTCTATTGTTTGTAAACATTCCCAGTTTTCATTGTGGCTGCATGTATCGCATTATTTCGGTTCCCGCACCCATCCCGCTTTAGATCAATACATAACGCCATTAAACCATTTTTAGAAATTTTCAAACAAAACATTATCCTTCTAATGTTTTTGTCAGTTTGATTTCTTACGTAGTTATCGTTGCTACTGCTTTCAACTTTAAATCCAATTTAGAGATTTCAAACTGTTATCATATTGCCTTCTTTTCTTTTTTTTTAGTTTTTGTTACCGAATTCAGAGAACTTTCAATTAGAGAGAGAGAGAGAGATTTTGTTAATGACATCTCTTTTATTAGGAAAATTCATGAAAGTTTTAAATGAAGAATTGCCGAAATGGTCAAGACATGTGTTTCGTAATCCGATATTGTACATGAGCTTACATTTGGTGGCCTTAAGCCGATTATAATTTCTTGCTTATCTTTTAACTTCGACCACTTCAATACGAACAGTCGGTGCTCACGAATTTTTTGGTTAACATTGGTTCAACACGAAATCGATAGTTGATAAACGTATTGGTTTGCCTCATATAAGACTTTCGTATCATTTTTGTTTGCGAACAAACATTTTCTTCTTTTCTTTTCCGCAATTCAGCAAATCAAGAATCAAAGATTCGCCGTGTTATGTAAAACAAGTTTCAATCTGAACACTAAGCTCTTGCTTTGAGCCTTAATAAATTTCATAAATTACTTGAATATAGATGTATACAATATATATATATGTTATGCATGGTATGATATCCGCCACGTAATTAAGCAAATATTTTGTTTATGTCTATTTGTGGCGGTCAAACTGCAAACTGGATCCCGGACTCCGATGAAATAAGGAGGCAAAAAAAGACAAAGCAAAGTGCGTTACCGTTTTAAGCGTTTAGTGTGCCAAGCGATGATTTGTAAATTAAACAAATTAAATAAAGATTTGAATTAAAAAGTTAAAAATACATTTTGTGAAAAACCTGAGACCCACAAAAGGTCTCACAAAATAAACAAACCAAGCAAAGCAGCAGTAAGTACATATAATTCGTCAAATGGAAAAAATTATGTACTTAAAGTATGATTTGTTTTTTTTTTTTTTTTTTTTTTTTTGGAGTGATGTTGTGATGTGCTTCAAGGATTTGTGAAAAATTGTTGACAATGTTTTGTGCTGTCTTCGTTTTTAGAAACCGAACTGGAATTTGTGAAAACAACTCTTCAGTGAATCTGTGTTTTATTGTCCTAACATAAAGCGCATACTAGACTAGTAGTGCTAACAATTTTGCCTTTAAAGAAAACTTGAGCTTAAGCAGAACATAGCTTCTTTCCTCTTTCTACGTCAATGAGAATAATTTTAAATTTCTTCTCTAGTTTAGCTAAGTATGGGAGAAAAATATATAAACATTAGGCAAAATATGATAGGTACGGAAAGCATTATGAAGAAAAAGAACTGCATTGCTTAAAGCAATGCTCAGTCCTTGCTTTTGAAACTCGAAAATTTTGGCAGAAATGTATCACAAAATATCGGAGGTCTCCTCTGCGCCATGTCGTAACGATTCTCTGTCTTTGAAGTTCGATCGTCTTTCATCAAATGGTATAAAGTGATATCTCGAACCATTCTGCCCAATAATTTTATGTTGACTAACATTAAACGATTATTTATTAACAATTAATGATATATTACTTGCCTATCATAAATTCAGAATTTTTACCTTAACAGTTTTCCTTTTCGCTTGAATTTTGTTGATTAATTGAAGTTTTTTTTTGTTTTTGACTGTAGTGTAAGTACGGGCAATAAGATATAGCTTAAGGCTCAGGTTAAAACATGGCTTATTCGTGCGATATTCATCAAGTGGCGAGTATTTATCAAACTATGAAGTATGTCCTAAGATATGCATTTTCTTTCTGTATTTTTTCAAGGTTGGCGTTAAGAAGTTAACTGAACACCAAGGCCAGGTTGAATGTATTGAGAGACTTTCCTATCACCATAGTTTCAAGTCATCAGTGTACATCAAGACTTTTGATGACTGCATCCGACATGAAAGATCATGAATATATAATACGAAAATAATATGTCCAAAGAGAAGTCCTTGAGAGCTATCCCTGAAGAGTTATCTACAGAATCTTTTAAGACGATGTGAAAAATTCATTTCACTAGGAATAGTGGTAAGTCTGATGATAAATAAAAGTCGTTACTAGTCCCTCCATACATCCATCTGGTAGCCACTAGCAAAATTCAGAATTTTATTTGTAAAATTCCATGAGATTAGTGACATTTGATCAACTATGCCGAAGCGCGTATTGATACGGGGAAATGAACGTTTTATTGTCGTAAGTAAATCGCGAGGCAACAATTTATTTGAACACTCAATTTTTTTACACTCAAATACTCCAATTTTTTAATTCGTATCATTTAATGAATTCAATTACTTTGTCTTATGGTTTTACTCTTCCTTAATAATGTTATTATTAGATTCTTTCTGCTGACCATTTCCATTCCAAATCTCCCGCACAATACCTTAATCTGTAGTTTTCATTTACTTGATCGTAGTATATTTTTCGGGATTCTATTTTCGATATCTATTTTCTTACTCTCCTTATCGTCTTCTTACTTACAGTTTAATTCTAGTATATGGTGTAAAAGTTGAAAATTTTTATTTGCAGCTGAGTAAATAAATAAATATATAAATATTTTGATGGCTCTGGCACCCTATATTAAGATCTTCTATTCTGTTCATTGTTTTCAATTAGTAGAACTGTTTGCCTACACGTCTTTGCCGTTTTTTTTTTTTTTTCCACGACACGAAATACTTGTATGATAATGAAATTCCAAAATACAAGAAAAGTTAATAATTTGCAACGTTGCCGATTATTGTCTATCTCTATAATTTTAATTGAAACGCCTACAAGATGAAGAAAAGGAATTTCTATACGCACAAGTTATATATATATATACATATATATTATATAATGTGTAATGTTAATAAAATGACAAGAAACGTTTGTAAAATCTTCTTTGAATTTTATGTTATAAAGCAAATTTGATGTAATGGCATTATGAGAGCGTATATGTAGTGCGCCTATGTATATGATAATTTCAACTTTCAGCTTTATATGCGATAATGGAATAGATTTTCTTTTTTATTTTCGTACTTTTGTTAAACATCAAACGAAAGGAAAGGGACCCAAAGCCATTGTTTTATTGAAGTTACCTGATAGCGGGCATTGATTGTAATTACAGTTGTGGAGGGGACGAGAATGTGGTACAGTAATGATTGCATATTACATTGTATGCATGCCTTTACCGAAATATTTACTAATTTTTGTTCTAATACGAGAAATGCTGAGTGGGTGAGAGCGCGGGCGAGGGGGAATGAAGGGAAAAGTAGGTGATGTGTTGTAGTAACATTGATGACCTATAAATTTAATATCCCCGTAGTGTTTCGGCTATGTGCTGTAAGTGACTTGTATTTGACAATAGAATGTTGTTATGTTGTTGTTGTTGTTGTTTGTGTTAAATGTTCGCCTGTTTGAAAATACCAGAATGTATTTATGTGTACAATTCAAAATTGTATATAGGAATTTGTAAAATGGGAAGAGTGTTTGGATGCTTGTTGGCAAAAAGATTACATAAAATATTTACTGAGTCCTTGTCATTTCACACATTCACGTAGAAAAAAAAAAAAAAACAATTTTTTTTCCATTTGATTTTCATTAACTTACCTGTCACTCAAATCACGTTTTTTTCTTCGATCCTGCGACAGCGCCTCAACGCACAACACTATCAATTTGCTGTCGCATGTTTGACGGTCCTGATCAAGCAGTTTGTTCCCCAGTAAATTGCTGGCATAACCAAATTTATCTCTCGCCCCCGAATGCCACGCATCGCAATATGTGTCAATCGAACGTTCACCGTTGGGTAAAGCACCGTGCCAGACATGCTTTTGAGGCCTATACAAATTTTGAATTAAAAACAAAAATGAGTAGAAAAAAAATACAAAGAATGTCTCATTAAAATTGACAAAAACATTTGTAAAAACGTAGACTTTGCTTGATTTTTTTTCAAGATTAAAAATATATTTCTAAAAATAAATATCCAGTAGCTAAGTATTTAAAGTTTATTATGTTAGGTCAACAAATGGAGTAAATAAATTTTTGTTCGTAAGACTTGCGAGAACAGAATGTGTCTCTCTCCGTTTTTTCTACGTAGTTTATAGAAGTACGATAGCATTTCTAATGTGTTTTCAAGCGCGTGGAGCAAAACATAGGGTATCCTATAGTCTCTACATAAAAATGTCCAACCAAGATGCAGAGACAATCGTGCCCCCGGCCAATTATTTATGACATTTTCCGTCCCCTTTAACTGTACAGTTTTTTTATTCTTGAGTTAATGACTATTGCGTTCGCTGTTGCTATAGACTCGTCTGACGGCCGATTTGACTCTGGAGTGTTGCGATGAATTCATGTTTCATTCATCGGAAATTATCAACACGCAGTACTCACTTCGTGCAGACCTTCCCAATGCTCATGCAAAATAGTCTTATGCTTTACAATTTCACACCTATAACTATGCATTTTGTGCAGAAAGGACCCAATGAAGGAGCTAGATATAGAGAGAGTCGAGAACATTAAATGCAATAGCACACTTGATAATTTCTTTATGCGGAATATTTTTTCTTCTTAAGTTGTGAAATTGAAAAAAAAAAAAAAATCTTCCCTGTAAGTGACTGATAGTCACATCTTGGTATGATTCGTTATAAAAACACATAATAGCATTGAGATTAAATATGTTTTTTTTTTTGTAAATCAATTAAGCGAAAGCCTTACGTGAGCTACCCCGTCCACACGTTTACATACATATTTATTTCCTTATAATTACTAATGAAGCTTTTTTTTGTTCGTTCCATATAAAAAAGGATTGAAAATATATTTCGTATATATTAAATATTTCATTAGCTTTTCAAAATTAAAGAAAAAAAAAAAAACAAAAAAAAAATTATTAATCGTTTAAGAGGAATAAGCAGCCTATGCTTCTGCCTGCCCATAATTCGGTTACGAGTCCACCGAAATTATATACTATTACGTTCCGGTTGCAGTGTTTTTATACAATTACTAGCGTTTTGTTTTCTTTTCCATTTTTTTTTTTTTTTTTTTTTTTGTAGTTAGCAATTTCGTTTATTTATTATTATTCTTACATTTATTTATTTATTTTCTTTTTCGTTCTTTTTTTTTTTTTACATATATGGAACAATGCTGCATTAACGAACATTACCATATCATAAAAGCAAGTCGATTTTTTGTTTTGCTTTGTTTTGTTTTTTTCTTTTACTCTGATAAATTGGATTTCAATAAAATTTCACCGAAATTTCTATTTTGTTTTTTTTTTTTTTTATATTTTTTTTGCTATATCCCATTAAAATCACTCTCAATGCAAACGCATTGTTATTAAATATATATATATATATATATTTTTTTTTTTTTTTTTAAAGTTATTTTTAATAATTTGTTTCACTTTGCTTTGGCTTTTGCTCGACAAAAGATAATATTAGTTTAGCTATAGAGCATAATAAGTTTTCTTCTTTAGAAATTTAAATAAATTTAATAATTTTATGATCGGTTTTTTTGTTCACACGTTCCTAACATGTCAAATGATATATGTCGTTATAGTTATACTTAATGTGAAGTATTTGTCTACGTGTGAATAGGTAAATATTTGCATTATATAAAAAGGATCACTTTTAGTGTATCCAAGGCATACATCTGTTTTGAGTTCATATATTAATTGTATTGTAAATTTAATAATATTTATGTGCGTGTGTTTATGCGGATTTATTAATAGACATGAACATTTATTTCTACAGATTGTTTATTTCTTTGTCAATGAAATTAGTATCGTAGTTTATTCTTTCCTTGAGGGAATCGTCCAAATTCTTTTAAATTTTTCATTATTTATTTAAATAAGAAAGAAGGAAGAAAATCATGTTCGGTTGCAGTCGAATCGTTTATGCCTACTATTTCTACTCGAACAAAGTAGAAGAAGAAGAAAAAAAAGAAGAAATTTAAAATTTAACTAAAATATTTCGATACTCCATACACAATATTGGATAGGAAGATCCGATTTTAGATTCAGCCATAATTTCCATGTAATGGGTAATCAAATTTATATCGGACCGACTGATACTAATGCTATTTACCATGTACTTAGGAAGATATCTGAAGGTTTACTCTGCGTGTTGCAGAGGGTTTGAGTCTTTTAACCTTTCGTTATTGTTTCTTTTGCTTAATTAAGTCAAGATACAGTTGAATGCTTTTCTCAAAGGTATCTAATGCCATGTGCGTATTGGTAATATCTTAGAGGAAAAATTGTAAAATAAAATTTTTTATTGGAGTCGAAGAAACTCGGAACTGTTTGCCTATGCTTGTTGCTTGAATTGAATATAAAAAAAAAAGGCTCAGATTAGCTGAATGTGTATGCGTGTATGCGTGTGTGTGTGTGTGTGTGAAAATTTATTTCTTATTTTTGATCTTGAAACTGCAATAAAGAGTATGTGAAATTCGTTTTATATTTGATGTAAGCCCTTATCATTTATCTAAATTGATTATAATTGCAATATAAATAATTGCTATATGTACATAACTCGGAAAATGTGCACTCACATATTCATAAGCATAGACGTTCATGGAATTCTCTATGCTGCTTACTTATTTGCTTATATATATTTAAATAAATAGCAGTTGTATTAACGCAAGGTATACATATAATTACTAATGGACAAGGTTCCTGACCTATGCTTGAGTGGAAACGCACATAAATTTCATTCAAAGGTATAGAACAGTTGCAAACCAAAGCATATAGTATAGACAGCAAGACTATAACTATATATATATATATATATATATATAATAGCATAGTAGAGATGCATGAAAACATTATTATTACATATAAATATTTGCCATAATACGGTCCAATGGTTATGAGAAAGAAGCAATTGGTTAAAATGGGAAGAGAAATTTAACTCTAAAGCAAATTTTTGATAGAAATGCGCCAATATTTTAATAAGAAATAGAACGAAGTTTTAGTATTTATTCATCATCTCAGGTCAATATATAAAAGTTATATATAAACTTGAGCAACTTGAGCGACATAAAGTTCATATATCTAATATGAAGTTTTTCAAACTCTTGATAAACTTGAATTACATACACATTCCGCAAATATTATTTTTACAAATTTTATACATTGCACGCGTCCTTTAACAATTTGATAGCTCATCGAATGTTTATACATTGCAAGCTTTATGTCGAATCTTTTAATATCGATCTCTTGTTTATGTACATTGCACTCGATATACAACTTGTTGTTTATATCGCTTCGCATATACATAGTTGTAATGAACTTTTATATAATAGCTTAAAGGTAGTTACATGAACATACTGCGTCTTAATTACTTAGAATTTTTAAATAATTGTAAGCAAGCGGTTGGTTTGTTATTTGTGCACTTTGTGCTATTAACGATATGACTTGTTATTCACTGTTACTCGTAGTTGTAAAATAGAATAATAAATAAATTTATTAATTACTTACTCATATTACTCTCATTAACTCACCTAACGATGAAGAGAAAGTAAATTAATTACAATAACAATGATATGAAAATGCATTTAATTTTTAAAAGGATTCATTATTTCATATATATATATATGCAATCTGATATTGTTCATTCAAAGTTATCTTAAGAGAAAGTTAATGCGATATGCACATATGTGCTTGGCTTTCCATATGTGTACAATCATTTATATATATATATATATACGTATATTTAAATGTAGGCAAAAGCTTTCGACCTGTGAGGTAATTTGTGTTTTGACTTAAATCTTAGTCAAATGTCTTAACAAAAGTCAATGAATTATTTACTTGTCTAAACAATTTGAATTCTAGTGAGTAGTTGAGGTCTTCTACGCCCAATAGATGAAAATTCCAGAAATAATTTAAACCATGCGAATACATATGCTTGTGCTTTCCTGTTGTTAAACATAGATGTGCATATGAACAAACGCACATATATGACGACATAAATAAATAATTTTCTCTTGCATTATCTGGAGAGTTCTTTGCATATTCTATAGGAGGCGACTACTTTTACATATTTCGGAGCAATAACGATAATAGCTAAGCATATTATTAGTCAGGCAGGACTAAAGTTTAAAATATTTGATCATTGAAATGAATTTCTGTTAATTTGGTTAAATGAGTTTTCACTAGACGTCTTAAGAAATCTTCTTTCTTATCGAGAATAATTTCTTATTAATCTTCTTGAAGTAATGCGAACATGAAAAGTAAATATAATCTATTTAAATCTGATTATATAATACTCAAACTACTTTATCTTCGAATATGCAATATATCGTGTATTCAGTGGTTAAGCAATTGTAAATTTTTCAATAAATCAATATATATATTATTTTTTTTGCCTAAAAGACGCTTTGCATCTTGGAAATATTACGAATAGATATCATACAGGCATCGTCATCGTAGAGTGTTTGCTTTGAAACCGATGCCAAGTGGATTAAGACAACTAACTGGTGTTTGGCAGACGTAGCAACAGAAGCATGAGAATGAGGAACCTGGAAGGGCACTTTTATAGTTCTACAATGGCCGGCTAATGGAAAAATAAAACAGAAAAATTTTGTTATAATCAGAAAACATGTCTATAATATATTTTATAAATGTTCAACACGCATTTATCTCAAAGGACGATTTTTTAAAAATAATTTTCATTTTTTCATACGAATTTTTTACGGTATCTTCATTATTACCATTAAGATTGATTTAATCAGATAAATAAATTCAAAGACTAAAGTCTTAAAACACTAGCATAAAAAAGCTATCGACTTTAATGAAACTCTAACGCACTTGGGATTTGAAACCTGCGACCATTGAGATGGCATCT